TCACTTATTCTGTGCTTTATAACTGTTATGTGACTTGCCGGAATAATTAGTTTAGGTCCGAAAAGATTTTAGAATGAATTGGAACACTTAGTTCTAAAGTTTAAAAACTTAAGTTGAAAAGGTTGGTTGGATGTCGACCTATGTGCAAACGACCCCGAAATAGAATTTTAATAATTCAAATAGCTCTGTATGGTAATTTTGAATTTAGGAGAGTGTTCGGAATTTTATTTGGAAGTCCATAGTTAAATTAGGCTTGAAATAGCTAAAATAGTAATTTAAGTTTGCAAGTTTGACCGGGGAGTTGACTTTTTAATATCGGGGTCGGAATCCAGTTCCGAAAATTTTCATAGCTCTGTTATGTCATTTAAGACTTGTGTGCAAAATTTGAGGTCATAGCAAAATTTGATAGATTTCGACATCGAACGTAGAAGTTGGAAATTCTTAAGTTTCATTAAGCATGATTGGGGTGTGATTTGTGATTTTAGCGTTGTTTGATGTCATATGAGGTTTCAAATAAATTCGTATGATGTTTTAGGACTTGTCGGTATATTTGGTTGAGGTCCCGAGAGCCTCGAGTGAGTTTCAGATGGTTAACGGATCAAAAAGTAGGATTTAAACAGCTGCTGTAAAAGTTCCTGCAAATTTTCTTCTGCCCAGAAAATCGAGCCCATAAATCGAGCCGATGATCGAAGGCAGGCTCGAGGGCCATGATCGAAGGCAAGGATCGAGGGCCATGATCGAAGGCCTAGACTCGAGGGCCATGATAGAAGGCCCAGGCTCGAGGGCCATGATCGAAGCCACAATCGAGGCCCAGGATCGAGGCCATGATCGAGGGCTGCCCGGGCAGAATTATAAAGGAGGGAACTTCGTCCCATTCGCCATTTTTGACATATTGGAGCTTGAGTAGAGGCGATTTTGATAGATTTTCAAGGAAAAATATTGGAGTAAGTGATTCTAACTCGAATTTGGTTAATATACATGAATATGTCATTGTTTTCACCATTTAATTAGTGTTTTGCGATTGAAATTAGGGAAAATTTTAGAAATCTCATAGAAACGAATTTTTGAGATTTCGGTGTCGATTCGGAGTCGGATTTGAGTGAAACTGGTATGGTTAGACTCATAATTAAATGGGTTATCAGATTTTGTGAGTTTCGCTGGATTCCGATATGTGGGCCCCGCGAGCGATTTTTGAGCTAATTTCGGATTTTATTGAAAAAATATAGTATTTTCTTATGAAATTGATTCTTATAATTTTTGTTGACTGTATCTACTTATTTTGGCTAGATTCGAGCCATTTAGAGTTGGATAATCGAGGAAAAGGCCTACTAGTGGATTAAATTGGAGCAAGTCGAGGTAAGTGACTTGTCTAACCTTGTGTGGGGAAATTTTTTTCTAGGATTGGTATTGATGTGATAATTGTAATGTGATGAAAGTCATGTACACGAGGTAACGAGTGTGTACACAGGCTAAATGTGAAAGATTATGTTTTTAAATTGTGTAGATCACTGTTGCATATTAATTAAATGATTAAATCTTGTTATATTCTCCATCATTGATATGATTTATATACTTTAAATTTGCTTGATTTTCTCCTGATAATTATTTTTACCTGTTTAGCTGAAACTTGATTTCTTTTATTATGTGCATTATTTGAAGGTAGAACTTCTTTAATTTAAATATTATTAATATGAAGTATTTGATATTTTTAAATTTGGAACTGAGGCAACGTATTAAAAAATTTTAAGTATTATTTTTGCTGAGTTATTTATTCCCGAATATGTTGTGAGGTTTTGTACTCATTGTGATTGAGCCGTGAGCTCCCTGTTGTGGAAAGTATTGTTGATGTTGTTTATTTTGGCAAATTGAATTATTTAGGCACTTGAAGTGCAAATTGTGATATATTGTGATATTGATATGCATGCGGTGGTATAAGGTCTAGGTGTTGAAAAGAATACGGTGAGATAAGGGTAGCTTGATACGTGTGATTAGTAGGGAAACTACTAGAAGTCATGCGGTGTGATAATGGTGGCTAAAATGTGGGATGCTATTTCGGAAAAAATATTTTTTTTAAAATAAATTGTGAAGGCTCTCGCGGTGATATAAGAAAAATGAGATATTGTGAATTTATTTATGATTTGAGACTACGCGGTGCCTCGGGAATGCCCTTATTGATACTGATTTATGGCCGCAGTTGCCTTTGATTATTATTGTGATTTTCTTAAAGTTGAAAAGAATTCTATTTTGTTTTCACGAGGTATTAATTGCCATTATTTGATTTAATTAAATGGTGACATACTACTTGATTCATTTTCATTGTCATTTTATCTTATTATATTGTTAAACATTTTACTATGCCATTATTTATTTTTTCAGTAGGGCCTGACATGACCTCGTCACTACGCTACCGAGGTTAGGCTTGGCACTTACTGGGTACCGCTGTGATGTATTCATACTACGCTTCTGCACATCTTTTTGTGCATATCCAGGTACATCTTACCAGCCCAGACATCAGTGAGTTACCTGTGTACGGAGACTTCGAGGTATATCTGCCAGTGTCCGCAGACTCCGGAGTCCCCTTCTATCATTATCATGTTGCTTCTTTATTTTCCTTAAACCTTGATATATAGAGACATTAAAGATAAATTCTTAAAAGCTTGTAACTTATTTTTACCGGGTTTTGAGAGTTGTAATTATTTGAATTGTAGTTTATTTATTTCAGATATCTATTATTATTCCGCATTGATAGGCTTACCTAGTCTTAGAGACTAGGTGCCATCACGACCTTCTACGGAGGGAATTTGGGGTCGTGACAACACACTAACCTCTCCTCTCACGGTACCCACCCTTACACTACACTACCTACCATCCCATCTAGACAACTCGTTCCACCCTCTACCCACTAGGCGCATCAAACCCCGAACCCCCACCTCTAACCCAGACTCTGACCCTAAACGCCAACCTCAACCCAACTGCCAATTATGAACTTGGACTACGGCCCATGCGAATGAATTCAGATCCGACCCAGATCTCAACCGTAGGCCTAACACCAACCCTAAATCCCAATCCCGACCTAACCCTCGACCACAACCCCAACTTCAAGTCTGACTCCGCCCCTAGCCCTGACACCGGACCCCAACCCCGGCCTCAAAATAAAACTCGACCATGATTCCCAACCTAAGATCTGGTCCTGACAATGACCCCAGATCCCAACACTAAATTCGACTTAACACTGATTTTGAACCTCGAGCCCGACCTTGGTGTACGATTCTATGTTCTAATCGACCTTGGACCCCAACCTTGACTCTGGATCCTAAATCCGACCCAGAATTTTGAACCTGACCCTAACTCCCCACCTCGGACCTGTTCCTGAACACGGACCTTGACCCCCACCTCGGATCCAACCCGACCCTATTCTCAGACTGTGACCCCTACCTAACTTCAAATCTCAACCCCAACCTCGAACTTGTCCTGACCCCGACTTTGATCTTGACCATGGATCCCGACCTTGACCATCGAATCTTGACCCCTACCCCAACCTCATATATGACCCCTTGATCTACTACCCCTATTGCCCCGCTCCTTCTCCATACTGATCACCCATTCCGTCTTTCATAATTTTTGGCTAGATTATATGTTTTCCAAAAAAGAAATATTATATGCTTACTATCCAAACACCAAAAAATAAGTAAAAAAATCTCTTATTTTTCATGAAAATATTTTGCTGAAAAATATCTTTTTATAGCAAACACACCCTTAATATGGGATACGTTTTATCATGTTCGGAGCCATCATGTCACCTACGGATTTAACCGCATCCAATAGTTTTAGATCAACTCTTATATTTATCTTAAAAAATTCAGTGATTTAACTCAGTAATTAAGAATGAATGGATTTTTATCTTAAACCTATAAGTTTTAAATCCTTATTTCGGCTCTAGTTTTTTTGGACTTAGATAGCATAGTATTTGAACTTTTTCTCTCTTTCCCTTTTGAGACCATAGACCTATCATTAATTAGCGCCTTTTTTTACTCCACTTTGTATCAAGTTTCTGTTCCATTATTTTGTACTCATCTCCTTGCCCTTTTATCATTGGATCCATTAAAGATTTCATAGTTAATATTTTAAAAAAACCCAAATGAGTGGCATGATACTTCAATGCAACAAATGTAAAAAGTCACTCTACTTTTTGGACAAAAAAGGCAAAGAAAGAAACAAACACAGAGCATTAAAACATGAAAAAGCTCCCATGTTCTCACCCTCCACACTGTTTTAATTTGGTTGACCTTTGGGTACAATATGGATTTACCTTTGCTTTTAGGCTAAAGTTGCAACATGCAGTACAATTTAAATCTAATTGACTTTGCTTAGAAAACCCACTCTAAGTGAAAACCCACTCTAAGTGGTAGCACATCACTTAGTTCTTTTTTTGTCCTTTTTTTCCTTTCTTTTTCAACTTATAATTTTAGCTTTCTTACTGATACTTTAAATCTTTTTACTTTCTTAATGGTAGACCAGCTTATAACGAGGAGATGAAAAAGATAAGGTTCAAGCTATTGTAAAGGGGAAGAAAATATATGACATTTAGAAGAAGATTTTGATACGACTTTCAATTAGATAAAGATCTGAAGATTTATGAGTGAAAACATTATTTTTTTTAAATAAAAAAAAATTAAGGATTCACAAGTATATTATAAAATTAATATTGAAATATTATCTATGGCAAAAAAGATATCCATCACATAAAGTTAATATTGAAATATTATCTATGGCAAAACAGATATTATATAATTGAGTTTAGGTTACATACACTTAAAAATATTTACACTATATAACTTTCTTATTTTTAAGATTACAAATGTCAGAAAGAATACATATAAATATTATCTAAATGACCTAACAAGGGTAACCAAAACTATTTTACATATCTAGCTGGCACGTTAGGAGGAGCTATTTTGTTCCTTTTAACCTAAACTATACATATAAAGATCATCTTTCTCTTTTCTTTAGTGTGTTACCAAATATTAAGTTTCAAAGTCTTTTTCTTTCATAAGAAATCAAATTGCCTGCTCTCTCTTACAGTTGAGCTTCTTCACACACACTGAGAGAGATCTAAAGAGAGAGAGAGAGAGAGATGTTTAGCCAAAGCTTGTTTGAGGATCAAGCAGATATGTCATCACAACTTGGATTTTTCACTTTTCCTCCAAATTACAACAACAATATGGGCAGTGCAATTACTACTACTACTTTACCATTTGGAATATGCAACCATAAAACCCTCACCATAATCCCTCCCTCTTTTGCAGCAGATAATAATTCCCTAATTGAATCTACTGCTCTAAGGCAGAAAGAAGACCTTACTACTTCTATATTTGGAGGACCCCATCTTCTTTCCTTGCAAAAATCCACTGCAAATACATGGTAATCTTTAATACATATGTCTTAACCTTTTCTCTAGGAAAATGATACTAATATATACTTCTTTCAAAATTTAATTTATCACATGCAAAAGATGCCTTTTATTTATTTGGTTAGTATGATGATCATAACTTTGTTGTGGTTTTTGTTAATTTGCATGTCTAGAAGTCATAGTTACTTATATGTTTAAGATGGTTTTGGAATTGATTTTAGGGCATGGGGAGAAGTGAATGAGAGCAACAATATTAAGAGATCAAGGGATAATATTGATGATCATTTAGGGGTTTCAGCAATTAAGATGAAGAAGATGAAATCATCAAGAAGGAAAGTAAGAGAACCAAGATTTTGTTTCAAGACCCTGAGTGATGTGGATGTGTTAGATGATGGTTATAAATGGAGGAAATATGGCCAGAAAGTTGTCAAAAATACCCAACATCCCAGGTACATATTAACTTCTTCCCATTCTAAATCTCTTCTTTATTCTTTATTTGTTAGTTTCCTAACAATGGCTACTCCTTCCATGGAATTCTCTAGCTCCATCTTTTAAAAAGAAAAGAAAACAAAAAGGTAGTCCGGTGCACAAAATATTCCACGTTCACGTATTAATCGGGGAAGGTCGTACCCTCAACTGGTATGATATAGACAACCTATCTTAATGTAAGTATTAGCGGCTACATCCTCGGCTTGAATCCCTGACCTCACACGTAGATAATTTTTCGTTATTCCAAGGCTCTCTTCCTCCGTTTTCTCGATAAAATATTGTGCCTATCATTTATTTATTTTTTGTATATTTTAATCCAAAAATTAATTGTTTAGCCACTTTTATCCACTAGTCAGTCATTAGGCCGACGAATATTTTGAAGCTAAAATCTTCTTGCTCTTTAATCTCCACCCTGAACATTGCATTAGCTGCCTTTACTATTAAAGCTTCAGTAGATTAGATTGGGGTTTAGCTAAGGATATTATGTAGGTAATTTCCTGAGAGAGGGCTAAAAGAAGTGTTATTATTAACTTCAAAAGATAGAAAATCATTTGAATACTATTAACTTGGTATTCATGAAATGATAGCTTATTGGGCCATTTTACAGAACTTAAATCAGATCGTATTGGCAGAGCTGAATCTTGACGATCTTTTAATTATGATTATTTGAAAAATGATTGCAAAACTTGTTGCCAAGTAAAAAAAAGATTCATTTAAAATCTCATCATATGATTATGGATATTCTTAGTTAAAATTTGGTACAACTCATCAAGACCGGCATTGTTAATAACTCTATTAAATGAAAGAACCATGTGGTGAAACAAACAAAACAGAAAACACACATGCATTTTAGCATATGGAAACCCTAAGGAATAAAAAAGAAAAGAAAAAAGAAAATAAAATGGAAATGATGATCACTTTTTTTACATCTAAAAGTTTGATATGGGGAGGATCCCATTGAGGATCTCTTCTTTGCATGATTTGGCTTTAGGTTAATAGTAAGTTGAAACTTTTTTATTGTTGAATGATTACTACTACTTGAGCTTTCTTCTTTATTGAGGAGTTTGCTTTGCTATACTACTGTCTCCTTCTACCTACAACATAGTAACATAGTTACGTTGTTCGAACTTTTCGAAAATATTGTTGGGGTTGTCGGATCCTTCAAAAGTAGTATATTTTTGGAGGATCCGCACAGGTGCGACAACATTTTGAAGAGTCCGTGTAACATCGCCGTAATTAAGAGAAGAATTTTGATTAGAATTTACACTATCGGTGTAATTAAACGTATTGTAGCAAGTAAGTTTGTCTTAATTATTTTCCAAAATTACTAATTCCACTATTAATCATCTAGATTGTAATACTGATAAATCGATTTTCCCAATCACCTATCCCGTGTGTGAGTGAGATAGTCTATCATAGATGTGAAATTTGCCGAATGGATTATGATTCCTTCTTGGTCTGATTTATTTTCGTATAGTATAAAAATTCTTTTGTACTATCAGTATCTAGAATAATTAAACTCATTTTAATATACTAAAAGTGCAACAACTTTTTACATAAGCGACAATGTGAGATGCACAAGGGAGCCCACTGTTCTTAAAGGCTATTGTCACTAGTGATAATGAATCCAGCAATTGCCAGTTTGCAATTGCTATATCTTTGTTTGTGCACTATTTTGATTTCCATTTCCTCATCTTTTTACCTTTTTGTTGTACTAGTACTAGGTAAAGGCACAACATTGCCCTACCAACAGCTCTATATTGCATTATCAAAATGTTTTAACGTTTAAGTTATATCTTAAGTGAGCTTCATATGTCGCTTAGTTATTTTGAATCTCACTTGACTTTTCTCCAAATCCCGGGGTTGATTTCTGTAGAATTACAGAAAAATGTTACTATCATATTAATATCTATTGTAAAGTGAAAAATAAGAACATTTCATTAGAAAAGAGTAACCAAGAAAAAAGACATTAGAGTGATCAAAGACTATGTTGTTTAGACTCTTCAAAAATATCGTCCGGAAGTCCAGTCAAAATAAATCAAATGTGTTGAGGTGAATTTTTGGTTGGAACTATCTAGATCTCAAAATAAATTGGTCCAAGATTTAATCTTCGTTGAATTATAAGCTAGTGCTATCTCCTAAGTATAATACTATCAACTATGTTCAACATTTCAGAAACAATTTTTATGAATCTTTTCGAGAGAGATAGAGCGCGCTCGAACTCTCCGGAAATGTCGCCAGGTGCGTGTTAGATCCTCCAAAAGTAGTGCATTTTTGGAGGATCTGACACGAGTGCGGCTACATTTGTGGGAGTCCGCACAACATAGATAATTATATATATACCAAACAAGAAAAAGCTCTTAATGAAATTTTGTTTTTATTCTTCTTTTTCTTTTATTTTTTTGGGTTATTTATTGGTCAAATTTCAAGATGATGCAGATTCGCGTGTCGTCTTATACTGAACAAATGAAATAATTATAGTCAGTCCCCAAATCTACTAGAATATGCATAGACTAGGGACTTTGCAGGTTTTGGCAGTTGTCACCACAAGTGTATAAATAAAATCCCTGTTCAAAGATAAGCATAGACATAACAACATGAGAAACTTTATGACATTTCCTGTTGCTTGCTGCAATTCATTATATTAAGACATTTCTAGACAAATTTGAGGATATATATTGAACTGTCTGTCTTGGTCTAGACCATTTCCTTTGTGGTATAGAATTAGAAAATTTTGTTCCGGGACTTTTAAGAGCGCATCGCATGATGTGTAGGTTAAGCGCACCTCATGAATTCGAATTCTACTTGAGATGAAAATTTGGTACATAAATAAAAAATAGTAAAAAGGTGGGTCCATTATTCATCGAATTTCAAACAGAAGATTTCTAGTTTATTAATTTTTAATATGATTATGTGTTGCAGGAGCTATTACCGGTGTACACAAGATAATTGTAGAGTTAAGAAAAGGGTGGAAAGATTAGCAGAAGATCCAAGAATGGTGATTACAACATATGAAGGCAGGCATGTTCACTCTCCATCACTTGATGAAGAGGATTCACAAGCTTCATCTCAACTTAATAATCTCTTGTGGTAGTTGGCACCTCTTCTTCCGAAGTTACGTGGCTATTTTACCGAGTTCCTTGGAGAAAGTTTTCTCGCGCCCTTAGGTACTCTCTACTTACCAGCATGTGTTGGTTTCGGGTAAAAATCGTTCGAGCTTTTCCTGAGAGTATATATACTCATTCTATTAACCCTTTTTAAGTTTTCCATGTAATGAAAAAAGTTCATTTCCTATCTATTGATGTTATTAGTAACTATAAAGTCGAACGTGCCATTTCATCTGTAATTTTGTATATCATGTGGACTTGGCTCTTTACTTTAATGGGCCTCACAATATTGTAAAGCGAGACTGCTATGCTTAAGTACTAAAAGCAAGTTAAAGCTCTCATATTTTATTCAACCATGTCTTCTTGTTTTGGATTCTGTGGCAAATAAGTCACATATGCTTGTTTTAGTAGACCAAATAATAGTATGATGTATTTAAGACTTTCCAAATAATAATACCCAAACTGCACTTGAAATGTAAATGATATAGAAGTGGAGAAATAGAATTGAAATGTATTCAAGACTTTCGAAATTATATTTCACTGGCTTTTTTTCTTAATGGTGGGAATTCTCAACTTCTCCGATCAAACCAAAGACCATAGGCTTATAGTTTTATGTAATCATTTTATAAAATAACGATGATATGATAAGATTCCAGAATAATATTCTCATTCCACAAAAATTTCCAAGCAAGCAGAAATAATACTCTGACATTATTATATTAACTTAATTGTCACTAAAGTCTAAAGCATCTAGAGAAAGGAACTGCCCTGGAATTGGGAGATCTAAACAAGTGTACTAGGACACAATATGTGTCATCTCAACTGCGTATTTCCTTGAAAGAAATTAGGCTAAATTTGGTAGCATTTGTAAGTAATTGCCTAATAATAATAATAATATTTATTGAATTGATAAATATTAATAATATATTTGCTTTGACGGGCCAAACTAGATAAGCCCCTTTGACTCTCCATCATTGACAATATATTAATAAATATTGAAGGTGTTTGACTCTGTACCATAGACAACCATTAAAAAGTTTCGAAGCTTTCAATTCGAATTTAGGTTTCAAAAACTATTATTTATTGGGATTGGTGTTGTTACAAATAATTAGGAATATTCTTTGGAGCTTATATCTCAAATTTGAGACTGTTTGATAAAGACTAGCCTTGATTTTGGTTGAATTTCATATTGAAACTCGAAAAAGAAGAAGAACACATGACATACAACAGTTACGAAATTGTATTAAAGTTGTAAGCAAATTGTATTTAAATTATATTTTATTGTAGTTATATATTTGTAACGACTCGGCCGGTCGTTTTGAGAGTTGTAGCCTCACTCCCCCATTTACTGCTCATTCTGTACTTTATAGCTGTATTGTGACTTGCCGGGGTAGTCAGTTCGAGTCCGGAGAGATTTCGGAATGAATTGAGACACTTAGTCTCAAGGTTGAAAACTTAAGTTGAAAAGGTTGACCGGATGTTGACTTATATATAAACGACCCCGGAATAGAGTTTTGATGATTTCAACAGCTCCACATGATGATTTTGGAGTTAGGAGTGTGTCCGGAAAATTATTAGGAAATCCGTAGCTAAATTAGGCGTGAAATGGCTAAATTAGGCGTGAAATGGCTAAAATAGAAATTTAAGTCTGGAAGTTTGACCGGTGAGTTGACTTTTTGATATCGGAGTCAAAATTCAGTTCTGAAAATTTTCATAGCTCCGTTATGTAATTTATAACTTGTATGCAAAATTTGAGGTTAATCGGACTCAATTTGAAAGGTTTCAGCATCGAATGTAGAAGTTGGAAATTCTTAAGTTTTATTATGCTTGAATTGGGGTGTGATTTGTGATTTTAATGTTATTTGATGTGATTTGAGGTTTCGACTAAGTCCGTATGATGTTTTAGGACTTTTTGGTATGATTGGTTGAGGTCTCGAGGGCCTCGGGCGTAATTCGAATCATGTTTGGCGCATTTTGGAAACTTGAAACTGCTGAACCTGCTGCTACTGGTTTCCTTCTTCGCATTCGCGAGGAGATCTCGCGTTCGCGAAGCGTACCTGGAAGCCAGCAGAGTTTTGTTCTTCGAGTTCGCATACGAGGGGTCGCGTTCGCGAAGGCCTGGACTTAGCACGCACTGCGTTCGCGAAGAGAAAGAAGAGGCAGCTCGGACCCCACACATTTGGTCTTCGTGTTCGCGATGGGCGTTCCGCGTTCGCGAAGCTTAAGATCTAATAGGCATCGCGTTCGCGAGAGGAGCCTCGCGTTCACGAAGAAGAAATTTCGGCAGGCACATTTTTGTGCTTCGTGAACGCGAGGCAAGGGCCGCGTTCGCGAAGAAGAAACCACTGGACGGAAACTATAAGTTCTCAAAATAGTCATTTTTTATTTTTGACAAATTGGAGCTCGGGAAGAGGCGATTTTCGAGAAATTTTCAAGAAAAATAACGGAATAAGTGTTCTTAACTCAATATTGGTCGAATTACCCGAATTCATGGTTATTTTTAACATTTAATTGAGGATTTAAGTCGGAAGATTTAGAAAACCTCATGGTTTAAATTGAAGATTTGAGGGTTGAGTTGATGTTGGATTTTAGTAAAAATTGTATGGTTGGACTTGTGTTTGAATGGGCGTTCATATTTTGTAACTTTTGTCGGGTTCCGAGATGTGGGCCCCACGGGCGATTTTTGGGTTAAATTTCAGATTTTTGTTAGAAATTTTATATTTCCATATGGAAATTATTCCTATAATTTTTATTGATTGAACAAATTAATTATAACTAGATTCGAGCCGATCGGAGTCGTAAAATCGAGGAAAAGGCATACTGCTTGATTGATTGAGCGTGATTTGAGGTAAGTGACTTGTCTAACCTTGTGCGGTGGAAATTCACCTTAGGATTGGTATTGATAAGAACATTTTGATGTGTTGAAAGTCGTGTATACAAGGTGACGAGTGTGTACAGGGCTAAACGCGGAAGAATATGTCTTTAAATTGTGTTGATCACTGTTGCATATTAATTAAATTATTTTATTCTGATATATTTATCATCATTAATACATTTTCGTATTTAAATTTGACTGACCTATTCCTGCTAAGTATTTTATTTGTTTACTTGAAACTCTGTTTCTTTTGTTTTGTGCATTATTTGAAGGTTGGATTTCTTAATTTAAATATTATTAAAATGAAGTATTTTACATTTAAAATTTTGATATTAAGACAAGGTGTTTAATTTGTGATTATTTTTTGGTTGAGTTATTCATTCCTGCATAATTTGTGAGATTTTGTACTCATTGTAATTGAGTCGTGAGCTCCTTATTGTGGAAAATATTCTTGTTGTTGATTTATTTTGGCAAGTTGAAATATTTGGGCACTTGAGGTATAAATTGTGATATATTGTGATATTTATACGCATGCGGTGATATAAGGTCTGGGTGTTGAAACGCATGCGGTGAGATAAGGTGGCTTGATACGCGTGGCTAGTAGGGGAACTACTAGAAGTCATGCGGTGTGATAAGGGTGGCTAAAACGTGGGATGCTATTTAGAAAAAAAAATATTTTCTTTAAAATTAAATGTGAAGGCTCCCGCGGTGATATAAGAAAAAAAAATATTGTGAATTTATTTATGATTTAGGACTACGATGCGGTACCTCGGGAGTGCCCTTGTTGATATTTTCTTATTGGTGTACTTGCCTTTGGTTATTTTGTGTTTTCCTTAAATATGTAAATTCATGTTTTCCTTGTGTGAGGTACTATTTGTCCTTATTTTGTGTAGTTAAATTGTGACATACTGCTTATTTGATTCACTTCCATTGTGATTGTTATAATTATATTGTTAAACTTTTCGCCCTGTCTTTTATTATTTTCAGTAGGGCCCTGACCTGACCTCGTCACTACTCTACCGAGGATAGGCTTGGCACTTACTGGGTACCGATGTGGTGTACTCATACTATACTTCTGCACATCTTTGTGTGCAGATCCAGGTACTTCCTACCAAATCAGGTATTAGTGAGCTAGTCCGTACGTGGAGACTTCAAGGTATATCTGCCAGCGTCCGCAGATCTCGGAGTCCCCCTCTATTTTTGTTATATTGTTTTCCTTATCTTCATTAGACTCTGATGTTTAAAGACACTTAGTATTTCTCTTAGATACTTGTGACTTATTTCTACCGGGTTTTGGGAGTTGTAACTATTTGAATCGCGGTTTGATTTATTTTATATGTTGACATTTGATTTTCAGTTGTGTATTCTGCATAATTGATAGTCTTAGAGACTAGGTGTCATCACGACATTCTACGGAGGAAAATTGGAGTCGTGACAAGTTGGTATCAGAGCCCTAGATTTATAGGTGTTATGAGTCACAAGTAGGTTTAGTAGAGTCTCGCGTATCGGTACGGAGACGTATGTACTTATTTTCGGGAGGCTATGGAACTGATAGGAAAAATGTTCACTTATTTGATTCCTTATCGTGCGCATTTGTTGACCTCAAAATCCTAAACCATTGTCTTTCTATTCTCTCACAGATGGTGAGTACACGCACAACTGGATCCGATGATCAGAAACCCGCGCTCCCTGTTGGAGCCGCAAGAGGCCGAGGTCTGGGCAGAAGCCGAGAAAGACCACGTGGTGCAACCAGAGCACCTGCACGAGCTGCTGCAGAGGAACCACTAGTAGCTCCAGTTGGAGAGTAGGCATCTGAGATGCTTGTTACTACTCCTGCACTTCAGGAGACTCTTGCCCAGTTTTTGAGCATGTTTGGCACTCTAGCTCAGGCAAGGTTAATTCCACGTGCTCCTGCAATATCTCAGGACGGGGGAGGAGCACAGAATCCCGCCGTCCGTAACCCAGATCCATGGGCCCAAGTTGACCATGCCCCAGAGGTTATACCAGTACAACCAGTTGTCCCAGTTCGGCCCGAGGTTAGTGCAGCAGTTTCAGAGGGGGAGCAGCTCAGGCTCGAGAGGTACAAGAAGTACCACCTTCCCACTTTCAGCGGTTTGGCTTCAGAGGATGCTCAGGGTTTTCTTGAGGAGTGTCACTATATCCTCCGTCCTATGGGTATTGTGGATTCTAGTGGGGTTTATTTCACGGTATTCCAGCTTAGAGGAGCGGCCTACCAGTGGTGGCGAGCATACGAGTTGGATAGCAACTTCACTCACTTGGACTCAATTTTCAGATATGTTCTTGAAGGAGTATATTCCTCAGAGTCTTAGAGATGCATGGCGCGCAGAGTTTGAGCAGTTGTGCTAGGGTTCTATGACCATGTCAGAGTATGCGGTCTGATTCAGTAATTTGGCTAGGCATGCACCAGCCTTAGTTGCTACTGTTCGAGAGCGGGTTCGACGATTTATTGAGGGGATC